AGCTCAAAAAACTATTGATTCAAGGATTCAAGAGTCTTTATTTGTCATTCGCACCCCATGTGGTACATGTGGTGGAACGAAATTATGTACACAGGGTCCCAGTTACATGATTAGGGCCACGTAAAAAAAATTACAAGGAAGTCTGGCTTATTAGGTTTAAAGCATGAAGGAATTGGTGATGGCCTACCATTTTTGCACAGTACCGTTCGTGTTTTTAGTATTACAGCTGTTTTCAGTTCTGTGTCTAATTAGAACACTTGGGTGAGGTAGCCACTTATTTATGTTCAGCTCCCACAGTTTATTCACTGCTGGAATTTGACTGTTCAACAAAATCTTTAAAAAAAAAGTACATTACTGACAGCCTAAAAAACCCGAGAATAAACACAAATATTACAGATTACAGTTAGTAATCTACCTATTTTGGAACAACTTTTAAATCTAACAAGAACCTACAACAGAACATTTAACTGAAACTGTTCTCTGTATAAAGGTTGAATGAATATTTACCTGGCCCACTGCCATCCTTAGCCTCAGGTTAGGCAGCACTTCCCTTAGCCCATACGCTGCTCTTAAACTCTGCCTTCCATTTGCCTTTTACCTCTGCTGTTTATGAAAAACTAAAGTCCAACCACACATTCTGTTTTTGACAAGAGCTCATATTTCTCTATAATTGATTGCCTTAAAAGATTATTGCTGCAGCAGAAATAAAAATTCAGCAGAGCATTCGAGACAAAAATCCTTTTCCAGTTATAGGGTCACACATGACGCATTTTCCCCAATTTCTACAGTTGCTAGAATCAGTACTCGTGTGCTTTATTAGTTTTTGTCTCGTAGTGAAACAAAATTTCACATCTTCCACTTCCCCCATCATCTTTACTTTGTCCTTTCCCCTCCTCACTAACAGGATTTAGCATATCTATGGCAGATTAGTTCGTTTAACAAAAGCTTACCACTGAGCCTCCTTTCCAGTCGTCAATTCAGCCTGACTTGTGGACCTCACACACAGCTCCCCTGCACCCCGCTCTTTAGAGTGTGTGTGTGTGTGTGTGGTCGCTGGGCACTTGACTAAATGGATTTACGTTTGAAGATGATAAAAAGCATGCTTAGTCACTTTGGTCTTCAAAGATGTATCTAGTCACATGTGGAAGGTGGTATTTGAGGGGTTTCATGTGCTCACTGGCAAGCGTGGCGGAGGGGAAGGTTTTAATTTTACATGAAACTGTTTAAGAATGTGCATTCTAAACGTGCTCACCTGCAGGTTATTTATCACTTTTGTTGCAGCTGCTTTTTTGTGAAGCAATGTGAAACAGTTAAAATGGTCATAACCTAATAATATATATTATTTGTGTACCTCTTGCTTTATTGGGCACAGAAAGTTGTATCATCTGCTCTCGAAGCATTACAGGTTGCCCTGCAGATGCTCTTGTTTCAAATTGGTGCCAAGATGAGATAATTTGAGTTGGGTATACTTAAGCATTAACATGAATTTCTGTTTGTGAGAGCAAGTGTTGGACCAGTGGAGGAAAATCAGCAGTGTCACTTCAGTCGACTCAGAATGGATGCTCCCCTTTCTCCCACCTGGGTTGGTGATGGTTTCCATCACATGGTAATAATCACCTGAAAGCATGACAGGGTTTAGGATGTAGACAGGTTAGATGGAGGGGGAGAGTTGGAAATGGTCCATTACACAGACGTGCATTTTTGTTTAACACTCAGAACTAAGCAGCACTATGTTACTCACTGTGTTACTAAAAAATGTTTTTTTGGACCACCTTCAACTATAGCAGGCATTTGCTGTGGCCTCATTTTAATAAGCTTTTGCAGTATTGTGTTGTTGGTTTCTGTAAAGTAGTGCACTAGTTTTTGTATTTATTGTAGTAGTCTTCTCCAGCACATCTCAAAAATTATTTATGGAGTCACAGTCTGAACGCTGGCTACTAACTGTGTGAACATAAGACCTCTTTCTGTCTGAACCAATACGAAAGTATATTGTTGCTCAACAAGACCATGTGAAATGGCCCCATATCATACAAATATAACTCCAGGCATATATGTGTTAGAAATATGCATCTATTTAATTATTTTTAATTAGTGTGTTTATTACTCTGGAATAAGGCAAATCTAAAAACAGTAGAAAGTTTGACCTTTGCTCATTTTAAGGTGGCCGAGTGGTTAGAGCAGTCGTCCTCCACTGCAAGAGTTAGGAGTTCGAATCCACCAGCAGTCACATGCTGAAGTGTCCCTGGGCAAGACGTTGAACCCTTCATTGCCTCTGATGTGTGTCCCATCGGTGTATGAATGTGATAAAGCACTGATTAGTCTCTTTAGAATGATTTGTTCAATTAGCTTTGTAGAGATCTAGTAGAGTGATGTATGAATGGGTAAATGAGGACACAGATGTAAAGTGCTTTGAGCATCTTGATAAGATAGAAAGGTGCTATAAGTACCATTTACCATTTTTTCCAGAGGTCAACAAATTTCCCCCTTAGCAAAATGCACTTTAAATATATATATATATATATATATTTTTTTTTTTTGATTTTTATTAACCTTACTGATCATTTTTCTTTTTTAAGTTACTTGGAAATTGTTTTATTAGATTTCACCAAATATTCTCTGGGATCTCATGTTGTTTAATAGTTTTTTTTTAACCAAAGCTTTTACTCAAAACTAATGGTTCCCCCACTCTCTCTTTAGGTTTGACCAATACCTTGTACAACAATATCTCTTTAAGACTTTGTTTTGCATAATTAAATAACGTAGCCCCTCTAAATCAGATAAATGTCCATCAATGATAGCAATACTGTTATGGATGCTACGTACAGTGTCCAAAATAAAATAAAAAGACCCACTGCCAGCTGAAATATAACACTGCAGTACATCTCTAATAGGAAGCTCTTGTCTATTTTTTGCATTTTTTTAATCCAGGTGATGCATTTTTCTACCTGTAAGACATTGTAAACTATATTCAATGGAAATTTTCTTCGTGTATATAAAACATTATGGCTAACTCCGGTGGTATTTTTGAATAATAGTCATTTTACAAATTAACAGAACTTGTCAATTCATCTGTCACAAAATCATCAAATAAAATCTCATTGTTGTAAAAGCTCGTTTCACAATTTTCATCAATCTCGCCTAACGCAGAGTTAAGGATTGTGGGTCTTGCAGTCCTTTAAATAAATCTAACAGTGCAGTTTAGTCGTTGTTCATACATTGACTGATTATTGATCAAAGCTTCACACCATTTGAGCTAGACTGATATCTAAGTGGTCAAGAGGAAGATGAAGTGTAAAAACTGATAAGAAGCTTGAGTGGAAGATAACACAGACATCAGTCCTTGTTTTACTTTTTCCTCATGCGTGTCACTTATCAAGCTAAAAAAAAAAAAAACTGTCATAAAAGTAAAACCCCCCAACAGATAATTCATATTTGTTTTACTTGATCTTAGAGCTGAGCAAAAAGCAAATTCCTATTTTGGAATGTTTGTCCAAACACCAGGGAAGCCTGCATCATTACATGAAGACACAATTGTTGCCACTTAGTTTGCAAAATTACATTTTGCCGTTAGTTTTATCCTTCTGTCCTTGTTTACATGAGCCATCTGATACATTCATGTGTCCCCAGCCACCGATCTGCCTTGTTGTCTCTTGTTCTTGGCACTTGCAAAACTCCAGGTGTCTTATGTGTCCCGTGCCCAGACAACTGTGCCAACCTAGTCTTTCCAGGCCACACGGCATTGTTCCATGTAGCCCATTGTGCATGGCCTGGGTTTGAGGGGAAACACCTGGTGAATCCTTCAATACCAGCCTGCTTGGCATTAGATCTATCTAGAATTATGTCACAGTGTAAACTCCACTTCCCACTTTGATACAAATCGTGCAACCCTGCTTTAAACTTCTATCTAGTGTTGACTGATGTTTTCCGCACTATCAGGTGTGCAAATGTGTTATTTAATGCAGGAGATGAAAATCTTAGAATACAATTTTTTTTTTTTTTTAGAGTTTTAAAAAGATTACTAATTGGGTGAGTTTCAAACAAACAATTTAAACTGCTTTTCTGTTTAAAAAAAACATAAAAATTAATTTGAAATCAAAAAGGTGCAAAGCAATGTTACACCACTCCTTCATTAAAGTAGTTTTACCATTTTCTAAGCTAGATATACGAGTGCGCAGACAGTATGGGATCACACAATTTCACTGCAGTCTTCTTCGTGTGACAACAACACTTCTCTCCAAGAGGTTTTGGGCTGCCCTCAGTGCAGGAAGTGACTCTGTATTGACTCAAATTGCACTTCCTGTGCTCTAATTCTCTTTTACTCCTGCCAGAACCTCTTCTTCCTCTTCCCAGTGTCCCTCTTCCCTTAATCACCTAACTTAAAGTTGGACCAACTTGTTTGAATTAGGGAGGGTAACTGCTGATATAAGCATCCTAGTCATATTATCACCCATATGGTGTTTTTTTGCATAAAGTTTATTTGTTTTACACAAGTTAAGAATTGGCGCATAAAATGGGGGAAAAAGCACCTTGCGTTTATAAATCGATGGGAATAAATGTGGGCTACTTGTGTTCATTGCAGTCCAGAGATTGTGGATCTGTCTTCACTAAAAGGATCCTTTGAGTTGCATTTCCTCCTACCTTATAGTGTGAATTCCTCTGAAATGAGGAAAGGAGGCCTAAGCAGGGGTTCATTTCCTGAGTTACCGGGTTCAGAATGCTCCAGTATCCTTAACACTGGTGATGTAAGCCACTGGAAATGACATAATATGATCATTCATGCTTGTGTGTATTTTCTGCCGTTTCAACAGAACAAATTACAAAGATAAAAACAGATCTGTATCTACCTTATTTTCTATGCTAATATCATGATAACCCCTAAATGTCATTTAAAGCATTGGATGTTTAAAGAAATATTACATCTATCAATATTTATCAGGTGCAATCAGGTTTTTCTTGCCTCTTTACCAAGTTATATCCCATGTATCTTTGCTCCTCTCCAGTTTCCAGAGTGTGGCTTCTTTGGCATGTATGACAAGATCTTGTTGTTCCGCCATGACTTAAGTGACGAGAACATCCTGCAGAGGCTGACCTCAGTCGAAGACATCCATGAAGGGGACCTCGTTGAGGTGGTGCTCTCTGGTATGTAAGCAAAACGCTCTTCTTCTTCTTCTTCTTCACACTCTCCTTCTTTTGGCACTTTATTACATTTTAAAAATGAGTTATATGGTTCAAAACCATATATCACGTCCTTGTTTGTTGTATTTGACCGTTTTAACCACTTCACATATTTTTAAGTGTCCAGTCGCAATTTATACCATGTTTAGACAAGTGTCTTTTGTGCTTATTGCTAACTAACTAGTTATCCAAACAAACATTTCTTATATGTCATAAATACTTGCAGTTAGAAATAGATGGGAATAAATATCCTGATGCATGCTCAATAATCCAGGTAGAAAAATCAAAAAAAGTTAAATCTGGTCCTCTGGACATTCAAAAAAAAACAAAAAAAACAAAGCAAATCAACAAAAAAATGTAGAAACGTTTCGTCTCTCATCCGAGAGACTTCCGAGAGATGGGAATAAAGAGGCTGAATATGGAATGCAGTGGCTTAAATCCACCAGTATCTGTATGATAAAGATGTTTTGTTATTTTTAAATAGCCAGTTCAAGGAAGAAGGAAGGGTAAAGCGCAAAGCTGAGATCCCTTTGCTGGTGTAGCTTTGGTTCAGTCTGCATTACTCCAAACAGACTTTAGGTCATACTTCTTCCCATGTCCAAAACAGAAGCAATAAGTCTAAACCAGTTGCTTTAACGTCCAAACAATGATCTGAAATTAATGCACTGACTGGAACTTCAACTTGTTACATTTTTCACACTCTTTCCAGTAAACTGTTTTTTTTTCTTTGTTCGAGAACACTTGAGTGGGGTTTATACTTTCAACCAAACGTTGCTGCCTAAATAAAATAACTCTTGAGCAACTCTCTTGTTATGACGTGAATATAAAAGGAGCTACTAAGTACTCTACTTTTTGCTTTCGTTTAGTTTGTGTGTTTTTTTATTTATTTTATCTTTCCTCATTACAGTTTCCACCCGATTGTCTACCTTTGTGGCAGCTTCACAGGTGCTTGGTTTTTCATTCTCATTTCCTGTGATGAATGAATCAGCTTCCTCTGTGGTGCTGAGACTAACAAATGGCTCAGAATATCTATTCTGCTTTAATCGGTTCTCCAGCTCCATCTGTCTGTACTGGGAAGCACCTGATACCACCTGTGCTGAATATCCTGCCCCCTCTTCTGGGTTGAGAGTATTGTTTGCAGGGATTTAGACAGCCGAAGACTGTATAGGTTTAGGATTTTAGGATTCTACAAGCATCGAGGCTGAGGAATGTAGACTTAAGACTAGAGAGAACTTCCTACTTTTACTCTTTATGTCTATGTTTGTGGCTCTCTTTCTTAATTTTTTTTTTATTCCTCATCTGGTTTACCTAATCCACTTCATTTGTAGGTGTAAACTCCAAAAGTGGAGCCAAGTGCTTTATGATGAAAGCTTATGTAAAGAATCTCAGATTTGCTTCAACATTTAATGAACTTAATGATACGGGCTGTGCACGTTGAAAACTTGATCTCTGTAAAAAAAAGAAGTAGAGACAGCCGTTCACAGGCATTTTGTTTTGTGCAGAGAAAATGTGACATTTACTCATCCTCCTTGTTTTGTTGTTTCTGGTGTGCTGTTGGATTCTGCAGCTGTGGGAGAGACATGATCAGAGTATCTTCCTCTCTGCAAGAGAGACACAGAAGTGACTTTTTCTTGGCTGAGATCTCAAAGAGAAGCACTTGTTTTTCCTGCAGTAAGTGATTGTAGTGGACTTACTGAGTGTAAACAGGCTCTGACGTGCAGGGCGGCCCTGGACGCAGCGGACGCTGTGCAAGCCCTTTTGACCCCATGAGATTTGAGGTTTGGCCTGACCAATTGTCCCTTTGTTCTTTCACTCCTCTTTAAATCACGCCCACTTTCACAAGCTCCATATTCCCTACCTAGTGGCAGTAGAGAAAAACACATCTGTTTGTCGTAGCCTCTTCAAACTTATTTTTGTCGAATGTATAGTTTTGGCTTCTGAACTGGAACTTGTTGCCTCACAGCAAACAGATGCTTCATTTATTTTTGTGAAGAACAGTGGAATACTGTGAAAACGACTGTGTCAAGTTTATGTTCAGTGTTGTTTGATGCTTATTAGCAAGACGGCCGTTACATAACTCTTCAAAAGTGGCCAGTTGTTTTGCAGATGTGTGTGAAAAAGCACATGAATGCTGCTTTTCATATTCATTTTCTCCTCATTGCACGTGACCTGCTGGAGGCCTTTTCCTCTTCAACATCAAACCTACAGTATACTGCAAACATCACCCCACAAGCCATACTTCCCTCAGACGCCTGCATCAGTGTTTGACTTGATAAATACTCCTGCAATGATTCTAAAACAATCCAACAATGTTCAGTCAGGTCATTTGGACTGGTTACTTTTTGTTGTTGTTGAGACGCTTCGTCCTTCATCCCACTTCATCAGTCTGAGGAGCCACAAACAAACTCAGTCTCACAAGCAGCACACTCCCATAGTGGACCAACCAGTTTGCTAGTGATAGGATTAAACCAAAATCCACTTTTTTGTTTTAATGTCATTTTTTAGAATCATCAAAGTTCATGCTCAATAATCCAGGTAAAAAAAAATCCAACAATGTTCAGTCAGTTCATCTGTATGGTTTCTTTTTTTGTTGTTGAGATGTTTTGTCCTTCATCCAAAGGACTTCATCAGTCCAAGGAACCACAAACAAACTCAGTCCCACAAGCAGCACACTCTCATAGTGGACCAACCAGTTTGCTGGTGATAAGATGGTTTCTGGGGTCCACCACTTCCCCCGTTGACTCCTCTGAGACAGCCATAGCCAAAGTGGTTCAAAACATCAAAGTTCTTGCTCAGTAATCCAGGTAAGAAATCCAACAATGTTCAGTCAGATCATCTTGACAGTTTCTTTTTTTTTTTTTTGTTTTGAGATGTTGCGTCCTTCATTCATCATGAACTTTAATATTTTTAACCACTTTGGCTATGGCTGCCTCAGAGAAGTCGACGGGGAGAGGGCGGGCCCCAGAAACCATCTTATCACCAGCAAACTGTTTGGTCCACTATGAGAGTGTGCTGCTTGTGGGACTGAGTTTGTTTGTGGCTCCTCAGATTGAGGAAGTCCCTTGGATGAAGGACGAAACTTATCAACAACAACAAAAAAGTAACCATCCAGATGAACTGACTGAACATTGATAGATTTTTTTTTTTTTTACCTGGATTATTGAGCATGAACTTTGATGATTCTAAAAAATGACATCAAAACAAAAAAGTGGATTTTGGTTGATTGTGTCATTTAGATTGATCCCATAACTCACACTGAGCTTGTCCTGCCAGGCCTGAAAGTCATCTCTTGTCTAGAAGCAGAGGTGTTTGGTTGGATGACTTGAAGAAAAACGGAAGAAGAAACCATCACACATTATTTGGCATCACTATGTCACAGCAGCAGCTTTCTCCCATTAAGCTCAGTGTAAAGATTAACCATTCCCTTGTTCTTTGCCGTGGCTGCATAAATGATTGCGTGAGAGCATGGGAACAGCAATGAGCCCTCTGAGAAATGAGAAGTGTCACTCACAGGCACAATATGTTGGCAAACCTCACCTCCAAGACTTACTCATCTTCACATGTTTGATTATTCACAGCCATGATTAATCATGACTCCTTCCAACAATGTGTTGCCTTTGCAGAATGGGAACAGATGAAAAAAAAAAAAAAAGAGTAAAACAAAACAAGGGGACATACTCAGAACTGTGCCAGATGTGATAACATGCTCGTAATAACATGGACAGAGTGATAAATCACACTTATTCTGCACGTTTGGCTTCTCAAGGGTGTGTCTTATCACATGATAGAAGAAATAGCTGCTGGAGATTTGATGCCCTCTGCTGCAGTAAGGAGGGTATAGCAGCCATGCTTGTGGCATGTTCTCCCTCCTGACTTGAAAAAGATGTCTTTGTTTTACAAAATTTACACAATTTCTTGAGGTTAAAATAAAATGTCTGTGGTATGCTTTAGCTAGATTTGCAGTATTTGCCTCTACAATGTATTTACAGCTCTAATGCCAATTTGGAGTTAAATTCAAATCAGTCTGCTCCTCAGATATATAGTGTTAAATTATTATTATTACGTTTGGATGTTTCTGTTCAGTGCCCTGAGATAACATCTATTGTGACAGTGCTATATAAATAAACAGAATTGAATTGAAATTTTTCTGTGTTGTTGTAGAAGCTAAAATTAAAAAGTATTAAAACTTTTTGTTTGTTTTATAGGCTTCTGATTACATACTAATTAGATGCACTCGGTAAATTACAAATACTGACTTCTAGCTAGAATAAAAAAGTAATACGTTTGATTTCCTTGGCAATAAACCATTTAACAAGGTGGACCGTTAATGTTTAAAGTCTCTCTGAAGTGAAGTGAGCTACTAACCATCTGATTTTAATTAAGCAAAGAAAAAGACTTTGCTTCTGAGGTACAGTGACTGCAGATGTATTTGAAGTTCAAGTTGGGCAAATATAAAGATACAACTTTTATTTGGAAGTGTAACTTATTTTCACCCTCAAACGCTGAACAAATTACTGAGGTCCTTTCAAATCAAAGGGATTTGAAATAAAATGTCCGTTTATTTGAGATCCATTATTTTATTTCCTTTAAAATAGGTACTCCCTAAAAAAAAAAAAGCTCATCTACATCTATGAACTGTTTTTCTTTCAAAGTTAGAGAATAGGATGAAAGAGAAATGAAATCCAAGTGATCAATAATTTGCTCTATTTTCTTTTTGATTCCTTATTTCTCATGATCATTTTCCAGATTTTTTTTTTCCTTTTTGTTGGGGTTATACCACATATTTCCTTTGTTTATAGCTCAAGCAACAGTTGAAGACTTCCAGATCCGACCCCATGCCCTTTACGTCCACTCCTACAAGGCCCCCACCTTCTGTGACTACTGTGGGGAGATGCTGTGGGGTCTTGTCCGGCAGGGGCTCAAATGTGAAGGTTAGAAACAGCCACACAAACTTTTATCGAAATCTTCGAGAAACTGTTAGGTTATTGGGATTATTTTATACTTTTTAAATAATTTTTACTAAATGTCAGCACGGTTCAAACCCATTTCCTGAAAATCTGGTTAAAAACACAGAAACAAGCAGACAGGAGTTGTTTGTTCTGGGAACTGTAATCATTTAAAGCCCTTGACGTTTAATTCCCAAAAGATTTGAGGCATGCAAGTGTTTTTGACATGACAGTCAAATGACAGTTTTGTCATTGTTGAATCATACTTAAAACTAATTGTCTTGCTTTTATCACACTAGATTTTCAGTCCTCTTTTATAAAGATAAGGCTGATTGCAGAGACACACTGTAAATTCTTCCACTTTTAGCATTTAATCAGTGGAGCCACAATGTTGATTCTCAAAGTAAACATTCCCAATTTTTCTGATTCGAAACTGATATGAGCTGTTTTTTTTTGTTTTGTTTTGTTTTTGTGTGTGTGTGTGTGTGTGTGTGTGTGGTTCCAGGATGTGGGCTGAACTACCACAAGCGTTGTGCCTTCAAGATCCCAAATAACTGCACTGGTGTGAGGAAGAGGCGATTGTCCAATGTTTCTTTGCCTGGGCCGTCTCTCTCTGTTCCAAGACCGCTACCTGCTGAAAATGCAGCGGTTGTCCCAGATGAGGTAGGTTCTGCTAAGTGGAAAAAATATCAAAGTGTTCATGCATGAAAAAGGGAAGTACATTTTTACAACCTCTCACATAAAATAAACTAGTTTTAGTTTTAACATAATTCTAAACAAGACCGAGGGGTGAATTTCTATTTGCAACAAGCTCTCAGTCAACATGCTACTCACAAGCTCCATCGCTGCTATTAAATACTTGTAAACTTATCAAATTTGGCTCTCTTCCCTGTCCGACCCTCCAGGGCCACATTATTGAATAGCACTGGTGCAGAAAATTGAATTTAGCTTTACTGACTCAGTGGAGAGATCCTCAGTGAGCTCTTATGAAACAGCTTTTGCATAAGCTCACACAGGAAACCTCCCCTTCTATTCTGTGTCCACGCGAAAGGTCATGAGGAAATGTAATTATGGTAATGATTCTATCAAAGCTTGAGGTTTTTGCATCTGCTATCTTGCTGGTGAAAAACGGAAACGGTGTACCTCCCATTTTTGTCAGGAGCAGACTGAAAATGTTGTTAAACATTACACATTTAACAAACCTGTTTGCACCACTCAGAATATGAATAATATGCAAAATCATACTAAAACTGTTAAGGTGGCTGCAGTAGCTCAGAGGCCAGTGCCACAAATTTGTAATCCTGAGGCTGCAGGTTCGAGCCCAGCAGATGGGAACAGCTGAAGAAACCCCCACATACCTCTTTTCACTTTCTTATTAACTCTTTCTAAAACTCTCCCTCTGAGGTTCTTGATTTTATTTTGTTTCATATTATTTCATATTGCACATGGTTTTCATTTTTTTCTTGATTTTTCTTTTCTTCGTCCAATCAACCTCAGCAACAGCGGTCCCATCAGGAGGCAGGGAAGCGCATCCTGTCCTGGAGCGGCAGGCCGATCTGGATGGATAAGATGGAGAAGACTCGAGTTAAGGTGCCACACACCTTTGCCATCCACACCTACACTCGACCTACCATCTGCCAGTACTGCAAACGTCTGCTCAAGGGTCTGTTTCGCCAGGGCATGCAGTGTAAAGGTGGGATTAAAAATTTCAATGTTTATTAGATTACACAATGGTTCTTTGTAGGAAAAATGTCAATGTTTTAACATAATTATCACTTGCCAGATTGCAGATTTAACTGCCATAAGCGATGCGCTTCAAAGGTACCAAGAGACTGTTTAGGGGAGGTGGACTTCAATGGAGGTAAACTCAACTGCCTGTTCCATAGATAGAAAGTGATACCAGATATTTGAGAACCTTTTTGAAGTTGTCATATAGTAATGTGCAAAAGTCTTTTTGAAAATTCCCTAAGGAGATAGATTTGAGTGAATAAGCAGACAAAGTTGACTTCAAAAATTGTAAAGAAATTAGGGATGCTCTAAAACATGTTGCATATTACTGTAAACCTGCATAAACAAACGTGACTAAACATATAATTTTTTTTTTTTACATTTTGAAGTTATTAGATTAATATAAGTTTGAATATTTAGTTATCGTATGTAAATATTTCTCAGATGTAAAATGTTCATGAGCATCAGAAATCAGTGAATATGTTTCAAATGCCTGGATTTGGTGACAATGTGCAGAGCCAGCCAGCCCTGGACCAGACTCTGACACCACCATGGATACTATGGAGGTGGACAGCAGTGATATGGATGGTGGCAGAGGACTGGACGATCCAGATGAACCATCCACTCCAGATGGGATGTTTGGCATGGATTCTCCCTTTGTTGATAGAGAGAAGGATGAAGAGCCCATCAAGACTATAAGGTACTCCACCACTGTGTTAATACAGTGAAGTGGCACAGTATAAACCTGGTTATGCACATAATATAT